GTGGACACCATCTGTACAAGCGCTCCATCTACGGAGGAGGATGGGGCTATGGCCAGACCGCCCATGTACCACTGACCCATGGAGGTGTGCCCGTTGATACGCCCGATGTGCAGGCTGCCAAGGCTGAGCATTATGCCGCCCATGCCAAGGCCCTGGGAGCCGTGGCCCATGCCCATGGAGCCCCCGTCGAGACCCCTGAGGTGCAGCACGCCAAGGCCGCCCACTTTGCCGCCCACGCTGCCGCCCGCTCCGGACATGCCGTTGCCCCCATCAGCCACGGTGGCTACCATGTGCCCGTGATCCACAACGGAGTGCCCGTTGATACGCCCGAGGTGCAGCACGCCAAGGCCGCCCACTACGCCGCCCTGTCGCAGGCCTCCGCCCACGGAGGAGCTGCCTCCCATGGATCCTGGGACGATGGCCGCTACGATGGACGCTGGGAGCAGAGTCACAGCAGCCACAACAGCTACGCCTCTGGTTATGCGCACAAGGGACCCATCCACATCCCGGTCATCCACAACGGAGTGCCCGTGGAGCCCGCAGAGGTGCAGCACGCCCGTGCCGCGCATCTGAATGCAGTGGCTGCCGCCGGTCATGGAGCTCCTGCCAGCCATGGTGGCTACTACGGTGGCAATGGACACGAGGATGATGGCCAGTACCATGCGCACTACGACCACTACTAAAGGATCGAGGGATCGGCACTTAACCTCCGATCGACGACGAGCATCTCTATACACTCTGCCTAACCGACTACCGAAGCCAGCGGGGCGTATGCCCAACTTTGCATTGCGTATACGCACGCTAGAGCGACTTTAAAGCAGCATTCCCAACTCTATATCTATCTGTCTGTCTGTCTTTCCATCTATCTGTCTTCTATAACTATATTTCACCCTCTGAGAAACGCACACACAAGCCACTCAAAAACACACGGAAAACTGAAAGCCACTACACACGGGAGATTGAAGTTCTTCGGAGGAAGACTTCCTTGCCCGCTGGGTTTCGATCGATTCGGATTTGGATGGAAGTCCCAGTCACAGCACACACATCTTCCTATTTACATCTCTCTGTACTAGACTTTCTCTAACTTTCTCCTTGCCCGACAATCTACTTCTTCTTTCTCTTATCTTACTTCGATTGAGAAACGCTGTATGAGTATGTTGTAAATAACTGTTGTAATCTCTATGTATCTGACCAGATATAGATCTATATTTTATATGAAACTGCAAACAGACAAATAAACTGCAAAAATGTATTTGATCACAAATTTAAAGTGTTTGGAATTGATGAGGGAATTGTGGTAATAAGAGTTGTTAATTAAATACATATGCTTATGTGGAGTATTATAAGCAAACAATTTCATAACAGATTTACCTTTGGGATTTGAGCATTTCGTTATTTAGAGCACTTATGTGATTTTTTTCACTAAATCTTTAATTTTAATATTTATACCATATATTTTTTTAAAATATTTGAATCTATATATTCATATCTCTTAATTTATTCAAATATTTTCATTGAAATGAGAACATACAATGTTTTTGTTATTAAAAAAGGATTTAACGTTTTTTTAAATGTCATAATAACAATAAATAATTTTAAAATATGCTATGATTGAGTTCGGAAAAAACCTTTTCTCTTCCTTTTAAAAAAAAATATTTTTTTTTGCAAATTTCTATTTTAAAACATTTAGAAGCCTTTACAAAATACGTGTACCGTATACAAAATAAATACTAGGTCTTCTTTGTTTTTATTCGTCAAAGCACCGAGTTGACTTTGTGCTCGATGGAATTTAATTTAAACCACCCGTATTCGGTTTTATCTTTCAACCACATTTTTATGTTATTTCCATTGTTTTGTCATATTAATTAAAAGGGCATCCTGTTATGGAGCTCTCCCCTGTGTCGGTGGGAAATTCCATTTCCTTTAAACTCTGGCTCATAATTCCCTGTCACAGGTCAACTGCCGCACCACCCAGAACAACCACCTAAACCAACCGCACCTCATTCTCCACCCACAGTGACTGCATTGAAAGGAACATAAATATTTGCAATGCAACGATTGAAATTTGCATACCCCCACATGTGTGTGTGTGTTTGTGTGCTATGGGGAAATGCCTCCTGCGGGGGCGGTGGGTGGTGTGCTGTGCTGTGGGCGTGGCACTCTGAATCCCCATCGGAGGATAGCTGCATGAGGCACTGTGACACTGGGAGCGAACAAACAATCAATCAATGCGGTATGAGTCTTGTATTTTTTGCCCCAGCCGCCTGCAAAATTGTGTGTCTTATGTGGGGGGGATTGTGTCACTCGACTTTGGGTGACTCGAACTATTGGCGCTCCGAAGCTGGGCAAACAATTTGAGTAAATAGATTGCCAGGCATTTGTCAAGTCTGAATTGAATGTGCTCTCTGGGGCCCCGAAAAGGGGGCAAGGAATTTCCCCTTCAGGGGCCATAAATTCAAGTGCAACCTTTTGGGGGACCCCAATGGCCGACCTTGAAGTGGGCCTAGTTTATTAGGGGCCATGGTGGCTAATTAAAAATTAACAACCCTTGGCCGGCGAGCTGACACGCAAAGGTCAGCCGGCAGGCAGGTGAAAATACGAGCAGCGATTTTCAATTTTCCACGCATAAACAAGCCAGGGGTTGGGCTTTTATCGTAGATTTAGGGCTGTCTTTTGGGATGGGCTCTTTGGGGTATTAGCCATTTAATTAAACATGCATTGGCATTTCGATTTACGACCAATTGTCGGCCACTAACTGTTACAGTTACAGTGGCCATAAGTGAGATCGACTTTAAAACAAAATATTCGACCTTCGGGGCAGGTGGGGCTCGTTTCGATCCGGTTACTGACCCGGCAGTTAATTTAATTACACGCCAAGCAGCGCATAAAAGCCGAAATTGTTCGAATTACCGGCAGGCGATTGTGTTTATCCGCAGTTCAGAATATTTGGCACCCCGCAAAAAAACAGTAGCCTGGCCAAAAACCAATCGGTATTACCAATACCTACATCCCCAGTGAGCCACAAGTGTTGGGGCGTGGTCGGTTTCCAGCCAAAAGTGAATGTGCAACGGCCAGATTTGCTGCCAACTAATTTCGACCAAACAATATTATTGCAAGTGCCGTCGTTGATTTGCACTCACTTCTCATTCCTAGCTTTCAAAAAAAATTTCATTCGAATTGAAGAATTGCATTTGCATTTGCCCGCCAGTTTGCAAGTTGGCCCAATCAATCGAAGTCCGTTGCGGTTTTTGTTTTTGTTGATTTTTGGCCAGAACTGTTGTGGCATTTGGCCCTGCGCCCAGGGCTCCGTTTTAACTGCAACACAGAGCCGTTGTGTAAACACAATGTCTGAGCCAACAAACACAATCCAAAAGCGATTTTGAGCCCTGGCATTCTGACGCAGCTCTTGTCTTTAGTTTGGCTTAGTTTCACAGTGGGCGTTGCATGAGGTGCATTTTGCATATCTTGGTCAAATGGCTTTTATGTTTTGCATCAATTTAATTTATGGTTGAGGCGTTAATTTATGGCCTAATTGATCTGATTTGAATGCATGTTGCAACAGCAGGAGTGTCGAAATATATTGGCAATTGTTTGGGGGAGAATCTAAATTGCTGTCCGAATGGGAAAGGAGACAATTATGTATTACATATATTCTGTTACACAGAAAAAAATGTGTAATATTAGAAAAAAATATTTTAATGCGTAATATAAATTAAAATTATATATTGCTTAAGAAAGATAAAAAACTTATAAAAATTTTGAGCGTAAAGTATTTTTATATAAATAAAACAAAGTAAAAAAAATTAACCACTTTGAATTCTATTGATATGATGCTTTAATAGAAAATACACATTTGTAAGATCATAAAAATTGTAAAAATATGAATCATAAAAATCTGATAACGGTAATTTGATATTAATTTTATATGTCACAAATTTATAGATTACAAAAAGTACAATTAGTATATAATCTTTATGTATTAGATATTATATTTAAAAAAAAAGATTCTTAAAAAAACAAATAAACTAGTATAGAAGTAAATTTTTCTTCAATCTTAAATCTTTTAATAAAAGCTTGTGAAAGCTTTCCTATCTTTCCTACCATCTTCCGGTAGATATCCCAATTGCTAACCACTCCACTTTAATCCGCGAAAATGGGTTCGTGGAAACTTTGTCGCAGATGGTCGATAAGGACTCATCCACTTTGTGCGTCGTTTCAAAGACATGTGCACAAATAGTGCCGGCACACGCGGCCAAGGCAGAATCATTGTTGCAAAGTAGATATAGTGCAACGCAGAAAATTCGATTTCCAGCGATTCGCGCAATTTGTGCAACAAAGTGGGCCACACGAAAGCGAGAAAATCGAAGTAATAAGAAGCACTTTGGCACAAGATGAGGCAAGTGAATGTGGGAAACTGGCGTGGAATAGAAAATAGAGAACACTAAAATCATCTGAGCAAAAACGGTTTTCGAATATTCAACAGAGATGGCAAAGGTGAATATTGTTTCCTCAGGCTTTGACCTTTTCCCACATGAATATTCAGTGGAAAGTTGAACCTTCAAGCCCACGCATGATACAATGTAAATGCGCAGCCATATCCATTCAGCTATTTTCCTTAAAGCTTGAATATATCTGGGCGGGAAAACCTTTTCCAAATTAACATCAACTGATTGACAAGCAATTAGCATTTTCCCCTGGAAACTCGGCTAGGGAAATCGTATGTAAATTACAGTGCCTACTTTTAGGCATAATTTATGCACTACTAAACCTGACATTTGAAAGCTGCTTCTATCTCAGAGCTTTTTTTATACAACCCTACTTCTAATTGGCGGTTACTGATGTTGTTTCCAAAGTATATATTCAGTCCCAATATAGAACACTTTGGAGATAGAGTATCTGAAGCGGAGAAAAGGTTAGACCCATGTCCATTAGGTTAGCATACTTAATGACAGGTCGGCAACCTATGACCTTTGCCCGACAATTAAAATGACAACATAGCATTACTTTGTAATCGAATTTTAATATTCGCTTGCCTTAGCTTAGGGTAAATGTGAGCTCCAAAAACATTGACTAGCTTTAAGACTAACTTAATCGAATATTCAGAGGGGATACGGCAAATGGCACAAGGGTCCTTGGACGTCTAAATAAGGCGACTGTGGGTTTTGAAATGGATAATAAGATACATCTATCCATATTTTTTACAGGTACTGCCACTTACACCACATTCAACTCCGGTTGGGGCCAAACGGGAGCGGGTACCAGCACAGCCTGGACAGGAATCGCTGCCGGCGGAGGCTGGGGAGCAGCTCCTCCTGCTCCTCCACCGCCTCCGGCTCCATTACGTGCTCCCTTGCCACCTTGGCCGCCCTTTCCGCCCTTGGATCCATCCGGACCATCGGCCCATCGGCACCATCGGCGCCATCCTCACCATCGGGTTGAGGTCCCGCCGGACTCGGTGCTCCCGGCTGGCCATTGTCGCCGCTCTGGCCGGATGTGGCTGTTCCTCCGCCGCCACCGCCTCCGCCGGCACCTCCGCCGCCGGCACTGCCACCACCACCAGCTCCGCCTGCTCCTCCCGCTCCGCCGAGAACTCCACCTGCCTGTCCCGCCTGACCGGCTTCGCCAGCTCCTCCAGCAGCCGCTGGTGCTGGCGGCGCCGGTTGGGCGTCAACGGACCCAGAGCCATCCGAACTCAGGGACGCACCTTCTGCGCCTTCGGCACTGACGCTTCCACTTCCACTCTGGCTTATTTCCGGCTCCGTGTACTCACCCTCCAGACCGGGCTGCGGCTTCCACAGGCCATCTTCGGGGCTCGAAGGCGGCTTGTAGGAGCCATCGTCCTCTGGGGAGGTGGCTGGACCAGCAGGAGAACCTGCCCAGGGGGCGACAGCAGATAGGTTCCAGCTGGGGGAAGGGCCACCACATGACCGGCAGCCTGCTCGCAGTAATTTATAGCCAAAAGGCCAAAAGGAAAAACTGCGTCGAAGAAAATAAATAATGAGTAATCTTCTATATCCGGCAAGTAATTCTGTTCTACAGAGAAGAAATTGATATGATATGATGATCATTGTGATGAAATTCAGGTTCAATTATATCTAGTATAACATCATCTTGCTTTTTGCTCTCTTTTTCTATTATGGAGAGTTCGATAAACTTTGCTCTTATCATTTAGAGATTATACAAGGAGAATAGGATATTTCTGCACCATCGATATTAATGATCTTCCAAAGTTTTTTTATGTACTTACCATTATAGTACGCATTTTGGAGAGCTTGCTACTGATCCCTTCGAGCCCAAAGCGGGACTGACTCGGTTGGCAATGCCCTAGGCCACCTTTTATACGGTGAGTACGGATCGCCGGCTCCGAGTGCTGATTAATTGCGAGTGGCGGCATTGTCTATACTTGGAAACTTGGAAGCTTCGAAGCTGCTGCCACTTTGCATGGCACCTGCATAAATCAAGTGCTACCAACGCTAATTGCGGCAAAACAATTACCAGCGACAGTGATCTTGTTAATGTGTGTAATGTGCACCATAAGTCCGAGCACCACTATCCAGCATCCGATCAAAAGACGCAGTTGAAATTACACCTGAACTTGGCCTTTTGATTGACATAAGCCAGTCTTCGGAACGTTGGCTGTCCTACAAGAAGCCATATATGGAGTTTACAAGAAGTTATCAAGATATTCTTGTTCATGATATCGGGGTTTTCACTTTGTAGATTAGCAAATAAGTTGCTAAACGTGTAACACCTTGAATAATATCTAAAATGCATTAAAGCTATTTTATTTTAATTTATTACTACTGCACGCTACCCTTACATAACTTAAATGACCATTTATAAAAAATATGTCTAACAAAAATATAATGTCTTTTACAACACATAAGTTTTAAATAAGGTAAAATATTTAACAAGAAAATATTAAAATTAAAAGTTTATAAACGGATTGGTCATTAGAATGTCTTTTGTCTGTTTGATGCTAGAATTGCTTACAAAATTATTTCATTCTAAATTATTCATATTTATTTTGCATCCTTAAATATTCATCTTTTTCCAACATCCTTTAATATTCTTTATATTTTTATTTTAATTTTACCAACTTAAGTGGCGTAGGGTATCCCAGCAACCCACTTGACTGAACCTCTCCCGCTGTCTCCATCATCTAGTCCAGATTCTTGAAATTTCTTACTGCTTAATGTGCTAATAAATAATTAAAATGGCTTTTTAAATGCGCCAACTGGCCGGCGCGCTGTTTTGCCGCGGATTAGATAAAACGCCATTCATGGCTCGGAGGCGTCAGTTGGCAATCCGAGCTTCGCAGGGAGGTTGACCATTGTTGACCAAGTGGACCAAGTTGGCGTTGACTCAATAGCCCGGCTCGATTGCATGCGACGCCGGTAGTGGTAATGGCTCGTAGACACTTCCCAACCGGTTTCCACCACTGTCAGCGCGTCGAAATGTGTAGCACAGTGCTAGAGAAAATTAAACGCCTTGCCAAATAAACCGAACTGAACTGATCTGAACTGAACTGAACGGAACGGAGCGAAGAGCTCCTTGTGGCCATCTCAGGCGCCACATAAATGATGAGCAACTATTAAACTCTGTGCAGCTTCAACTAAATCAATTAAGCCAACAAGCTAGAAACAACAACAGCCACACAGGGCAGCCTAGAAGGAGCTGCGCCAGCAGGCAGCTAAACAAAGTAATGGCAACGAGGCCATTATCATCATCGTCCTGTGACGCACTCCCGTTACCCAATCCCCATTTCCGGGATCCCCCGTTTCCCCCACTTCCCAAGTCCTCGTCATCGTTAGCATTTAGCAACACAAGCAACAACATATCTCACAGGAGTCGGGGGAAGGACCAGCAGCGGAGGTAATGGAGTCGTCTAGCTGGTGGTCGGGGCATTCTGCTTGCCCATCCGTGCGTTTCCCAGCCGAGATAGCGCCGGTGCGTATGTGGGTGTTCCTGCACTCATCAAAAATTTAGCTACTCCAATTAGAACCGTGTCAATAGTACGTATTTGGTATGGAAGCACACTACAGATTTAACCAAAAATATTCGAAAAAAAGAAATACTTACTCATATTTTTTAAAGTGTTAAGTTATTCATAAAATTCACAATTGGGCAAACATCATTTATATAATTTATTTAATATTTTGAAATCCAACACATTTATACCAAGGGGTGTTACGTACTAGAAGGGGTTCCAACCAAACCATTACGGTTTTGAAATCACTTTAAATGCCTATTAGATCCTAAAATATGCATATGATGTCCTATTATTCTTGACGACTCAGTTAAAATATATTGTTGCATACTTTTAAACACCTAATAAAAACTTTAATGTATATTCTTTCTAAAACTCAAGGTAATTTCGAAGGTTACTGAAAATAAAGCAAATCATTTCTTATTAAAATAAATTTTTATTTTCGTTTAGGCAAAAATATTTAATATATCTCGAAATATAAAAATATTAATGTTTTTGCAAGTGCAATTCCTTGGAGAAAGTTTCTGCCAATTAGGCGAGAAAACTTTGGAACGCGACAGGCACGTGGAATTATGCCAGCAGTGTTGGTCGAGATTCCTTTTGCTGGCGCTGCAAAAATTCAATGTCCGCATGTCGATTAAGCAAGGCGACGACGCACCACAGATGCAGACAATGCGCTAGAATATGTTGCCAATAAAAGCGATGGACAACCGTCAAAGATCCATCCATCTATTCGGACTGGCTATCCCGGATCCCGACTTTGCTTGCTCCAAGCTTATAAATAGTTTCTCTGTGGCTTTGGGGACTCCGCCATTTGTTTTTCCGCCTGACAGACAAGTCAAGTCAAGTTGCCCAGGACAGCCATTTGTATTCCGCTCCCAGGACGTGGCTTGGGTTTGCTTGTGTGACTGTGTGGCTGTGGGTTCCACGAAAGGACGAAAAGGTTTCCCTTTCGACGCGCCTCGAATGGGTGGAGATCGAAAACAGTTTACAGAAATGATTACCACTGGGCGAATGCGTAATGGGCAATGGGGCGTATGTGCGATGTGGCAAGTTGTACGAGTGCAGGCGCTCTGAAGTGTGAAAAGCCTGGCAGAGAACTGAATTAAATGGCGTCAAACTTTTATATTTAATATGTGGCCTACTCGTTTGCCAGGGAAATTCATTGGAAAAGCACTTTCGGCAAGCCATTAAGTGAAAGCGATGGTTGGTTATTATTGAATATATTAAAAAGTTCCAGGAAATATGAAATTCGATGAGAGAATATTGAATTACGTTTAAATAATGCCACAGTTCTTTGACAGCTTGCGGGTTCGGCTAAATGATTTATGGTTTGTCAACGTTCGGCAATACCTTTACACCTGTCACATCGTGCTGCGTTTTGACCATAGTCTCGGGTATATCATCAATAATAATTCAACCACCGAAGAACGCACTCGGTCAGACAGATAGCGAGACAAAACCACATTAAATACACGATAAATCAAAGGTTTGTTATTAAAGCCGCCCCCCGCGAGGCAGTGGGCGTGGCAGCTGGCATCTAACCACAATACCCATTTGAACAGCACTCCACTGCCCCCGATGATAACTCATAAACGTGCCGCAATGGAAAAAAATATGAGACAGAGACAGGCAAACAAACAGACAGACAAACAAGTGACTAAAGAGCTTACACAGACAGAGTGTGGCCAAAATGGTTGGCTTTAACAAAAGTTGCAACATTTTTATTATTTTTATTGAGCGCCGCAAATTGGCCCATTGTTGGGACAGCGTGGTCGGCTTTGATGGCCATATCATAAAGGCATTTTGCTCTTGTTTTGTAGTTTTTGATTTGATTGCAATTTTTGTATGCCTGGTCCCTCTGGTTTTTCTGTGTTTTTGTTTTCCCGTCTTTATTTCTATAGGACCGTCGCGTTTATTGGTTTTCACGCCATGGCTAATGACCAAAACATTTACGAGCACAGGCGGCGCCTCGGGTGGCCAGCTAACCAGAAGCGGAAAAAACTCATAAGACGCCTGGGGATCGACTTTGAACGGTTGGATGGGTCTTGTTATACCCTTCTGGGGGTGTTTTAATATAAGAAATAAAGTGTGTTAAATGCACCGAAGGAGACATCTCAAGAAGAGTCAATGACCCTCACATTTAAAGAAACCGAAATCAACTTATCGAGGGAACCACTCAAATCCCTAGGGATTTGAAAACACTTTAAAATGTATTCTTAGGTGTTTAAAAGTATGCAACATTATATTTTTAACTCATCAGTTTAATGAGTTTATTCACAATGAGAACTATCCTTTAATCACTGTATATTTTTAGAAACCTTAAGTGATATTTTAAAGACACTTTAAAACTTTCGTAATTTGTATAGCACTCCTAACTCTAAAATTTCAATAAAAAGATCACGTTACTAAAATTGTATTTAGAAAAGTCTTACTTATAGTAAATGGTTCCTAAGGGCTGAAACTGCTTAGAAAAACTTTCTTATTCCCAACATCAATAAATAACCCTTATGAAATTGGACCTACTATATTTTCCCAGTTCGTTGTAAATCCTTATAAATAGGTCCCCATCCCTTTTTTCCGTTTTGTTTTTACTTTAAGAAAAAGCTGTACACAAAGTCGGGCAATCTCGAAGTGCTAAGCCCGGGATCCCGATTGAAAGCCTTCGAATATGCCATAAATACTGCAGGCCAACATTAGGCGACTTATCGGCTGCCTGCCGCCAGTTGGTCTGGCAACAATTTGTTCCAGTTTATTCGCCTGATCCCTTATCAGCCCGAAATTCCCATCTTCAGCGTGCAATTTACGCATAGACCATTGACGCCAAGGGGGCAGAAATGTTTATTTTTTTTGGATGGATGGGGGGCTTACTGAATGTTTTCATAAATTGTGTTGGTAGCAGACAGAAATCTGTAGGCGCCGGAACTACTTGTTCCAGCTTCACCCTGTCATGTTTTGTAATTGGTGTTAACAGGCAAGGACTTTGAGTACGGCTGTCACAATTCCAGCAGTTGCACCAGAACCAAAGTCATTTGAGTAAAGAGCCGTTGTCTGTGACAGGGACGGTCTGTGGAAAATGTGGAGTGTACACAGCCAAGGCCTTGTCTTGGCGCAGTCCTTGATAATTGAATGTATTGTCCTCGGCAAAGGCTCTGTAGCCGTGCTATTCATAGAGCAGAAGACGCCCATTTGCATAAATGTCTGCCGCGGCACGAGGCAGCCGCCGAGGGAGACCAGACCGTTTTATCTATTTGCTCGATTCATGGGGATTCACCATTTATGAGCACTGCAGATTATTATTGAAGCCCCCCTTTCTCCCCCAGGAACAGATGACGCAAGTTCCCAGCCATCCTTCGTCTTGCCTTGAATTTCGTCATCCATCCGGCAACCTGTTGATATGGCGACAATTTAAGATGAGTCATCGGGAAAACAAGGCGGAGCAGCCATATAAACGAGCCCTTTTTTTTGGTGTACTACTATAAGAAACTTCTACGCATCAGCAGTTGACCTTGTTGACTCATAGCTGCTGAGACTAAATTCAAGCAATTTATCCTTTCAGTTTACAAAGCCCCAAAAACCTGCTTTAAGCTGAATCATTAGTTAAGGTAAATACACACAAAGCCCAATTATTTCAAAGCCAATACTTCTATACGACATTTGATTCCCTTTTGAGGCAATAAACCCAAGGCGTTGAGTAAAGCCCATAAGTGACACTTAAGGGGGAAGCGGGGCTAGCAGCTCAAGATCCACTTTCGGTTCCGGGTTATTTATTACCTTATTTGCCCAGCTCGTTCACACAAAATGGCTCAATTTCGTTCCGGGCCAGGTTTTTCGGGGGTCGGGCTTCAAGTCAGAAGCCTAAACACCAATCATCGAAACCACAAGAAAGCCAATTTGCATGCAGCTCACTAAGCCCCCAGGAACACGTATACGCATGGGTGTACGCCGTACGCTGAACACCTGGAGCAGGACACCTGGGAAATGTGATGCCCTGACTTGTCCTGGCTTTTCTATGCCAGTTGTTGACTTTTCACACCGCCGGGCATTCTTGTTAACAGGCAGCCCCAAAAAACAAATCATCTTTTATTGTAACGCATTAATCTTATCCGAGCTTCTGCGGTTCATGTGGCTGTGTATTGGCCACCAAAAAGCAAAGTTTAAGCTACTGAGAC